GGGGGGGGGCAGGCGGGCGGGCGGGCACCCCCCTCTGTTGTGGTCCGCGGATGATCACCGCTCCTGTCTTCAGGACCGTGCCTTCAAAGCACTTCTTCGAAGAGGGAGAGACGACAGCTCCTATATTGACCAAGTGATGTCAAAGACGGACTTTTAAACGATTTGTGTTCCAGTTATTTGTCGCTGTGTTTTATTGATTTGTTTGTTTGTTCAGATTCATGTATTTATTTATTTATTTATTTGTGCCGTTTGACTCAAGATCTGAGCTCTCCTCTTTGTCACCGAGGGGGTCTTGCTTAAAAGTGCCACGCATCGCATTACCTCTTCATGTGTTAGGAGTCTCCCAAAAAAAAAAAAACTGGATTGGTGATTCGATTTCCTGGTTCCGATGAAAATTTGAACGCAGCGCAGTCGAGCGACTGTGTTCCGAAGCCTTATGTACATTTCTGTTTCGAACTTACGGGAGATAGCTTTTGTTGGTTTTAAAGGGGAACTATGATGATTTAGCCGACTTACTACACACACTTATGCAGTTTATTGTATATAATAGGAATGCGCATATCAAACCTGGTTTCCACCTTATCAAAGATAAAAAAAGAAAAAATAGAGAATCAGGAATGAGTATAATCGGTTCCTTTTGAAAATGCAAATTAAATGAAAGGTTTTTCTCATGGGTTTGATTTTTCATTTTTTTTTTTTTATGCATTCTCTCATTTAGTGCTCACTCATGAACTAACTGTACAATCAGACGTTTGCCTTGGGATCGAAGTGAGCTTCTGCAAAGTAAAAGCTGAATACTTAATGAAAAAAAAAACATGTGGCGTAAAATACTATTTTGGTCCTAAAAAGAATAATTTCACTCCTCTCCTTCCATTTTCTGCGGTGTATCGTTTGCCAGAGCTCTGATCTTGTTCAACTGTGTTTTACCAAGAACAAAAGTCAATGAAATCTGCACTATCCCATCAAAACAAAAATAATTTGGTGTCATTTTTATGTGCTGTGACAATTTTTTTTTTCTTTTTTACAGTGACTGGAGAGGCATCATGTGGTTTAAAAGTAACTATGGAGATGTAGTTCGCAATTTCAGCACATATGGATGGAGGGGGGGAATGAATGTTGCATAATTCAGCTTTGCCAGGTTCCTGAAGATCTCAGCTTCTGATAGGCCGATGCGCTTTAGGCTCCTGCCTCCGACTCTCAAGAAAAAGACTGCACCAATTTCTTGTTCCCTTAACTCCTTTTTTGTAATTTTAAAATGAATGATGCGTCTCCGCTTAGGCCAATAATAAAGCACAGTCTAGAATAAAGTCTCCCGTCTGGCGTCATGATTTGCGTTGACCACACGGGAAAAACAGCTGCTCCAAAGACTGAATGTGTTTGTGGACTAATTTACAAATATTCCACAGTTCATCGAGGGAGACTGTTGCAGCCTGAATCAACAGCGGTGCCTTGAGATAAGAGTTTCATTTGTTCCTCCCCACCCCAAATGTATTCATAAGGAAAATGCTACAATGTTTACTTTGTAGAAAATTTAGTGACAAAAGTGAGAGTGGAAAGCATGAATATCATTTATGTATTAATTGTGACGCCGCCTGGTGCACGTGACTTGGCCACCAGGGGGCAGTCATGAGGAAACACGGAGACTGACAACTCTAAGTGACTCGGTACAAAGTTATTCTCTTCATTTGATGTGTAGTTTGACAGTAAACCAACTTACCCCCTACAGAGGCAAAATTTCAAAGAAATCAAGAAAAAGTACCCGAAAAATGACGGTTTATTTGAATTGAAAATACAAAGCACATAACATGATTTCCCTCAAAAGCACGCCGATCTCAAATTGAAAAAAAAAAAATCAAGTTAAGACAGCACAGTCGACATTAAGCAAGTAAAACTTTGCATGTTTCGCTTTTTCTAGTCAGCAAATAAAAAAAATATCCTCCAATATTTGGCTTTCTTCCAAGTCCTGCAGGCAATTCAGACGATAAGGCAAAACCACGGGGGTACGCAGACTTCTGCAGATTGGTTTGGGTGTCGTGAGGGTTGGCCCACGCTGCGATGATTTGAGCCTCCGGGAGGATGCTTTGCATTGCTCATGCGCTGCAATGGGACTCAACTTATCCAGTAACTCGACAACAGAGAAGTCCAAACTGGGGGATTAAAAAAAAAAGGAATGTTGCCGTTATTTGATTTAATGTACAGTACTTTCTTTCTGCGGGGCGCAGCTCGATTCAAAACAGAGCCTGACAGATTCCAGTGCAGTGTGGCATCATTGCCCTAACAACCAGGAACCAAACACAACGCCAGACTATGAAGCTTGGGCAAAACGCAAGCAAGCTGGAGGTACCGGCCCCCGAAATGCAAATGGCTAACTTACGCATGATTAGAGGGTGCTGACATATCGCCAACTTCTACGACATGACTATAAAAACACATGACGATACTGCTTGCTGAATGACGGACCGATCTCTACCGAGCCAAAAGCACACAAGTGCACCATTTCTTGTAGGTATGAGAGGGACAAAGAGCAAGAGAACCCGCCGCCTTCTCACCCGGAATAGAAATGAGGGAATGCGCAGTGAAATAAATAAAGCAAAACAAAGAAGATTAGGCTAATAGAGATTCAATCCCTCAGTCTGTCTGGCTTGATAAATTATTCAACGTACACACACTGGAAGGACAACCGTTCCAAATACAAAACATGAATTCTTCAAAGCATGCTCCGCTGAAGTTGCTAACATAATTCTCTGCTCGTTTAAAGCCGCATCCATTTGCATCCCATGCAGCGCGACGCACAGCTCCCCGAGGGGAGGACCGCGTTTGGCACGCGCTGGTTCTGGCATCCCCAAACGCCGCGCCGGGGATCATTTAGTACCCGGCCACAAAAAACTTTTTTTTTTTTTAAATTGTCATTTCATTTGCATTTATCCATGGACAAAATGGCCACGTCAACCGCGATTGTCGCTTGTCGCTTTTGGTTTTTCATCCACCAGCAGCCCACAAAAGCAACAAATAAAATAAACACTTTTTTTACAAGCTGCCACACGCGTGTCACTTATGATCAAAAGATAGAGTGCATCACCTGTGTTGTTTTAACATTTTGACATTCCATTACTTTGTAAACTCCCCTACACAAAAAGAAAAGCTGTTGCATTGACTCAATTTGATTTGCTCAAGTGGTTGCAAGAAGGAAAAAAAAATCATCTGGATCCAGATTGATTTTTTGTTCAGTCGATGTGTCGTCTAAGTGATTTTATTTCAACAAGTAAGCAAAAATACTTGAAATTCTCTTATGAATATTGAACTAAATTGTGAACATGTTTTGAGTGACAATGGAGGGTCAAGTCAGCTGTGGGAGGGTAAACGTAAAAATGAATACATTAAAAACACACACACACACACACACACACACACACACACACACACACACACACACACACACACACACAGCGAGAGACATTACCCTCAAGGAAGTGAATGTATTTTCCTCATTTGGTTTCCTGCCTGTCAACAGGCGCAGGAGAGAGTGAGCAAAAGTGAGTGACTGGCAGAGAGAGAGAAAGAGAGACAGAGAGAGAGAGAGATGGCAAGCAAATGCAGCTTTGTGGATACAGAGGAAGGCAGAGAAGGGAACATGGGGGAGGGACTTTGGCTAGGTTCCGTCTCGCGAAATGTGAGAATTTGCATTTTTATTTGTTGATTTATTTAACGGACAGGGCTCTCAAACAGCCATCCATCAACAAACGACATGCTGGTAATGAATAATGCATCACTTAACGGCGGTCACAATCTATAACAAGGCGTGGGGGGTTGGGGGTGGTGGTGCTGGGAGAGGGGGGGGGGTACAGTTTGGTCAGAGAGGTGCGGGAGCGTGGGCGGGTGGGGCGAAGGGGTGGCATAAGGCAGAAAAGAATGCCAATAGAGATTCGGAGGACTTCAACTGTGTACTGGGGATTTTGTGGCTTTCCACTTTGCGGTGCAGCCAGATATTAATACACCCCGAGGGACTTTCAGAAAATCTGTCACTGCGGCTTGCGTTCTTGGGGAAAGAAAAAAATAAAAGAAATCAGCATGGGCAAGAGCAGATGTTCTGTCAGTCAATGTAGTCAGAAAACAGCACGTGTCTGTCCTGCTTGCTCAGTGCAATTTGGCTAAACGATCATATCAATAATGGAAGAACAGAACGTTGACTGCAAAGTGAGCCGCAATTAGTAGGACTACCTCTGAGCTACCCGTCTGTCACACTCCAACAAAGGAAGAGTAATTTTTTTTTTAATGCTGGTTAACTTCTTTTTACCCATGTATGTCAGTTCGAACTGTTAAAAATCCAAATGCATGACACTGGCTCGTCACCAGCAACGTCTCCAAAGCGTGTCCATCACGTCATCAGAGGGTGGCTCGTCTTTAGGGTCCCCTCGCACCTGTAGTTCGTTTAAATGATGATGAGTATATGCGTTATATTGCCCTGTTATGAGTTTTTAATGACATCCTCCTGAGAAATGACACTGTGTGTGTCTGGTTTTGTTGGATTTTACTGCAGCTTTGATATGCTGGATCACAGTATTCTGTTGGCTTGTTTGCAGCACCGGGTGGGCATTAGTGCTGGCGACCTAGAGTGGTTTACAACGCAATTTGTCTGACAGAACTTTTTGCATGAGCCTTGGGTGTTCTGAGTCCCGCACTGCCTCACTGTCGTATGGTGTGACGCAGGGTTCAATTCTACGGCCACTGCTGTTTTCATTGTCGCCGCTCCTTTTGGGTTCCATCTTAAGTCAGCATGGTTATTTCCTTTCACTGCTACTGCGGATGACTGTCATATCTATGGTCCGCTGAGCAAAAAAAATACGCTTTCTCATTGAGGCCACTTTTTTGGTGCCATTGGTAAATCCTGCTTCTTTCATCTTACGCAGCTAGCTAAAGTAGAAAGTCTCCTTTCTCAACAGCGCTTTGAAACAGTAATTGACACTTTTGTCACATGTTGGCTGGATCACCGCAATGCACTCTATTTTGGCGGCAGCCAATCCTCCACCAAATGGCTCCAGTTGGTTCAAAATGCTGCTGCTCGCCTCTAGACTGGTATTCGTGAGAGGGAGCACACATCTCCTACTCTGGCGTCCCTTCACTGGCTCCCTGTACATTTTAGAGTTATTCTTAAGATTATTTTTAAGATTTGTTGAAAAATATTTAAATGGTGTCGCCTCACGTTGCCTCTCTGAGCTCCTCCACCTCGGGTCTGCGGCGCAGACGCTATTAGAGGTACCGAGGACTACGCTAAGGCTCAAAGGGCATCAAGCCTTTTCCTTTGCCAGTCTCTCTCTTTGGAATGACCTCCTGCTAAACATTACGCAAACCCACAACAGCAACGGGAGAACCTCTGAACTGTGCGGCAGACGTACTAACAACCTGTGAACATGTCACCCAACACTTCCATATTGTAAGTACAAAAAAAAATGGATTAATTCTTTCTATGCAGCTATTCAATACTCCTCCAATTTAGTTTGAAATATGTCCACGTTGCTCTGCATGCCTCTTCGCTTGTAACTCTCACTGCACCCTTTCATTAAAGATAGCCGTCTCACCCTGGTGCCCTTAATTCATTTGCAGTCCAAACAGTAAGATAGGAGGGAAAAAAAAAAACTGTAACGGCCAAAGCGTATATCCCGCATGTCAATTTCCCAACCAATCAATAGCGTGCGTGTCATGGCAGGCGAGATGGAAATGAGATGGAACTGTCTCATTACTAACTGGCACAGGATTCATGAAAGGATTAATAAGGTCACTTCATGTTAACTCGAGCTTTGTTTGGCAATTTGCACATCGAGACCGAATGCTTTAAGATCAGATGGCCCAGAGGGTCACGTTGTTGCCAGGTAAAGTACCTTCACGCACCACGCAAAATGAATTGTCAAACACCGAGCGGTGTCACAACAATTGCGGACCATGCTGCAAGTTGCGATAACATGACGGCAATGATCACACATTGATATCATCACAGGTATTTTTTTTTTGTCCTCTTCTTTATGCTGTTCACGTTTCAATATCATGAGACCAGGACGACACCAAACAAATGATCACGGGGGCCTCGGCAGCGCGAGGCTTCAAACAGGATGTTCTCAGAGGGATGTGGCCCGCTGAGCTTTGAGTGTCACAGTGTGTCATGTCATTGTGTTGCAAGAGAGCGACAGAGACTGGAAAGTCTCAGAAAGGCCCAGAAGTCGACAGTACGTCCTTGGAAGGGCACGAAGACTTTTCGTGAGTCGTGATGACGCTCTCCTTATTTGTCTCGAAGAACCTCATGTACAGCAACTAGTGTATCTCTTGACACCTAGCACGCTCATTAATGTTATTTTTGGGGGAAGAATATCTGATAGTAGAAGAACACGTGCTATGTCCAAAAAAAAAAAAAAAAACCATTAGCAGTGTTGTTTTCAACGTATTCATACAAAACAAATAGTCTACACAAAGATATATTTTAGTCATGCATGAATTCAAAGGGGGGAAAAAAAAAGTTTTTACCACTTTTGGTAAAGTTGCTTGTGTGAATGGCAGCTGCCCTCAATATCCTTATGAGACCGACCACACATTTTTTATTTGGATCAATATTACACCTGCTTCAAATTTGCGCCTGGCATTTTCTTTTGGTGCAATGCTCACCGGCAACCCCCATTCAAACTTGCTTTGAACGTCGCTGCCGCTCGCTTTCTCTGTCTCATTACTGTTGCAGAGAAAGGAGGGAGAGTGGCGTGTGTGTGTGTGTGTGTGTGTGTGTGTGTGTGTGTGTGTGTGTGTGTGTGTGTGTATGTGTGTGTGTGTGTGTGTGTGTGTGTGTGTGTGTGTGTGTGTGCGCGTGCGTGTGCGTGTGTGTGCATCCAGAAGTCTGTTCAATTACACCTGCTGCAAGGTCCCTGCCAGGCGGACTAATGGAACGCAGCATGTCTCCTGACAGGCTGGCCGCAGTGCTAGCTAGCCCAGTAAAAGCTTCATTTAGCATCTCACAGCCGAAAAGTTAGCTGAACTAAGACGTGTCATAATTTACCCCGGAAAACTGAAAATCGGCAAAACTCAGTTTAGAATGCGATACAAGCCTTTTCTGTTCTACAACACACTAGGGCCCTGCCAATTTTGGTCTTTACTTTTGTGTTGTCTGACCATTTACAGCAGTTCCATTATACATTTCTTAATTAATCGGCCAATGAGTCGGAAATCTCTGTGGGAGAAAGCCATACTAGCCACAGTAACATCAACACCAGACATGCACAAAGTCTTTGACCCCCCCGTCAATTTTACGGTTCTTTATGCATCTGTTGTTAATTTTTCTGGGTGTGCAAACTGTATGGTCCTGGCAAAAGGTTACCGATTTTCAGACGTCTTCGGAGTCACAGGCCCCGCCGTGAGCTCCGCAGGGCTTGCAGGGAACTCGACAGGGGATGTGGCTGTGTCCTTTGTTGATTGCACTGGAGCATCTGTTGAGAAATGTAACAGCATGATGAAGGTGTTGGAAAGCCAGGGAATGTAACGCAGTGGGTATTGGCATGGACAAGAAGACTGACAACGACAACACCTGAGGGGGCTCACCTCTAAGATAAATTAACATTCAGAGATGTTATACCAATCACTCTTGGCAAGGCTCAACCGACAAGTTTGTGTTTCTACGAGGAGATACAGGAAATAGGTACGGGTGGCTTTCAGCTTTATGTCTCTGATGACGGGAGAGTAAAATTGATTCTAACTTCCGAAACAATGGGGGACTGTGACACAGCAGCAGTTTCATCGAAACCAGCGAACACCATTTCATTAACAGAAGAGCAAATACGAGCTGAAAGCTCTTGTTGATGACATGGATGTTTTCACTCTTTTCCTGACTGGCCTTGACACAAAATAGCTGGCCGCTTGTCAAGCTAGCACTATGTCAATTACTATTTGGCAGCGGTGCCACCTATTTGTTCATCTGATTATCCCTTAAAAAACGTAACAGCCAGATTTGCTCAGTCACCTTCCAAGTTTGACTTGTGCTGACCCTTTCCCCAAACGATTTCTATGCGAAAAGTATCAATATGACGTTTTTTTAATTGGAGAAAAAATGGCAACTCACCACAAAACTGAAGATTTTTGTCCAGCGGGGCAGTTTGTGAACAGTTGTCATGCACGCTTTGTTGTGCAGGAGGATTCGTTCTGTCACACACACACAAAAGACATCAGACAGTATCGGCAAATTTCATAAACAGGACTCAGGAATTTAATTCTGTGAAAGACTTTCATATTGAGCTACTTGGTTTACCCGGTCGGGAAATCTTGGCCGCGAGGGGGGTCTGGCTGTGACGTTTCATTGTTCGCGAATGAGCTGCTGAGTTTAGATTGGCACGCTTCTTGAAACCTGACATGAACATGAGAATAAATAGAAATGACGAATTGATCATTATATACTATGACTCAGGATGTTTGATAACACTTTTTTTTTTCCAGATCGACACTAATACCAACTACCGCCAAGGAGGATTTGTTCAATGTCAGATGATTTCTTTTTTGTCTTACGTATCGATGGCTGGTATCAGAAGCCTCCACCCTACTCGATACCTGAAAATAAGGCCACTATCAGCCTGATACTCACCCGTTCCTAATTATACCAGAGCTTTTCATCATTAAGTATCTATTCTTTCATTTTTTTTGGACTGCTAATTTACCTAAGAAGCAGTTTTGGCAACGTGGAAGGGAGGGGGGGGGGCACCAAACTATATCAACATTTCGTAACTGTGTACTCTGACACTTGGAGGAATTTTTATTTTTTTAGGTTTTTGGAACCAACCTTTTGCAGTCAAGACGTGACTGGCACAGCTGCTGATTCTGTCTGCTGAGCCGCTCCTCCTGATCAGCCAGACGTGTCTGCAGCTTCTCTCGCTCCAGCTCCAGCTGCATCTTCTGCAGCAGCAGCTGCTGCCTCTTCTCCTCCCAGTCCCCGCAACCAAGTCGAGGGATGGTCGAAGGTTCCTTCTTCCCAGCGGCAAAGTCATCCTCGCCGTGGGGCCTGTATGGAAAACTGTGCATTACTTGTTTGAGAACAGATCTTTGATGTTTTTCAAATGAAATGTCATTCGAAAATCTGTAAAATCAGAAACAAAGTGCGGGTATACAGTTTCAGAACAACCGTACCTTTGGCTAAATGTGCTCTCATAGCTTCTCTCAAGGGAACAGCCATTTGTTCGACGTTGCTGGACGCCATAGCTGCCGTCTTGGAAAGGCCCCTGATTGTGCTGCAAACCGAATTCTCCCGTCTGAATGTGATGCCCAATGATTTGCTCACCGGCGCCAGCTGGAGAGTTTTTGCTAAAATAGGAAGCGGGCGTAGGAATATTGACAGCCGGCAAGGGTCCTCTTCTTGCGCTACTTCTCCTGTGCGCTTGAGGGTGATGTGTTTGAGTAGCGGCAAGACTGAGGTATGAGCCATCAAACAGTAGGCCATTAGCCCGGCTAGTAGTTTCACTAATGGCTTCTTCGCTGTTCAGCAACTGGACACATAAGAAAAATAATGAATGTGTTTTGACCAACTTCTAAAAAAAAAAAAAAAAGGCATGCGGTGTTTCAGCCCACAGACAAGGCTGTTGTAGTTTTATAAGCCATACAGGGTAATATAGAGCCGGCCATAAGTGAAACTTGTCAGCGTTGAATGATGAACCCTTCACTCAATTTGCGCAGAAGTGAGGGTAAAAACGCTCCCCGCGCGCATAATTACAATGGCGTGAGGCGTACCATTACGCTTACCATATCCTGTTTAGACCTGACAGAGGCGGCAAGATTAAGAGGCCAATTTTCCACTGAGCATTACTGGCAGGTAAACCAAGGTCAGGCACATTATGAGATAAACATAAGGAGGAAAAGCCCATCTTATAGTTGACTAGGGGAGGGAGAGAGTGACTCATTTGCTCAGGGTCAGGGAGCAGGCAAACACCCATTATTCAGAGCCACAGTGGGACAATGAGGTTGGCCGTGTCATCTATTCTATCTCCAGATGCTTAGGCTGAAGAGTGTCTTCCTTTCTCAAGTGTGACCTTGAGAGAGTTTTACCGTGGTGTAATCATATCGAACCAAGTGACTTCGGGGGGGACTTCTACAGTCAATTGATATGCATTATTTTGGCGCTAAGCCATAAACGAGCTGTTGCGTGAGGTCTCAATGAAGCCTTTGGCAGCGCAAGGAGTCTCGACGTACCTTATAGTGAGCTTGGGCTTGCGCCTGGCTAAGCTCAGCGATGGACTGGTTGAGCTTCGTTTGTTGCTGAGTAAGGTATTGTTGGTAGAGCCCAAGAAGCTCCTGACACTCTCTGTACTGCCGCTGAAGGCCTGAAGCACGAGCAGTTAAGGGAAAGTCATAGTCCGAGCAAACATAACCTTGAGTCCCCCTTGCTGGGATGAGACTTTAAGCTTCGGTATGGGGTCGAAAACTAACATGGGCTTTTATGGTCCTCGTGAAATAATAAGAACGCCATCATAAAAAGTCTGTTTAACCGTCACGCCGGTGTTGCTTTTCAAGACGTCTGCTTTAAAAGGTCACTTGATGCAGATCAGTCAATTTTGTGGGGAAAATCTTCTCTTTGGGGGAATAAGTCTGACAGTGGCTATAGTTACCAAAAAAAAAAAAACCCTCTCCCGCTACAGTTACATGGTTGACCGGGAAAGTACAAAAAAAAAAAAAAAAAAAAAGATTTTTTAAAAAGGGGCCAGAAAATCAAAGTTTGTGTTCTAGCACAGAATTTTCACCATCTGGTTCAATCCATGCTGCGCTGAGCTGAGCTGGGCTGCGCCATAGCCGGCTCGCTGCCAGACAGAGACTTGGCAGATACGAGAAAACTAATCTGGAGCGGAACTACTGCTGCGCCCCAGGAGCCCACTAATGACAGTAGCACCATCGCACCACACCAGCACATGCAAAGATAATGAGTGTGAGACACACAGACAAACTCATACATATTCAATAATCAACCTCCGTCTTACTCTTGACTTTCTAGGAGGCACGCAAAACACACCGAGGCACGAGAGCGTAATTTCCCCACCTACACGAACACTCTCACACAAGCGCCACAATAAAAGCAAGTCGGGCGCACGCGCGCACACACACACACACACACACACGCACACGCACACACACACAAACACACACACACACACACACACACACACACACGCACACACACACACTCCCACCCAAGCTGACCATAAAGTGTGTTTCCTCCAGGCCATATATTTTTATGATGGTGGCCCTGCTACCCCAGCTGATGAGTTTCTCAGCATCCGTTTAAAAAAAAAAAAAAAAAAAAAAAAAGGACCAGATATTAAGAGGAAATCAAAGTTCAAAGTAGAGTCGTATTGGGGAAATAGTTGGCAGAGCACTCCATAAGGAAACGCTTTGCTTGTTCGAGGACCTCAATCAGGCTGAGGAAATGAAACAGAGGCAAAGGAAAAGAGCGGGTGGACAACTTTGAATTGAGGACCAGACACAAGACAAATGCGAGGCAGCGGCTTCCATAAACATTGAGAAATGTGAGGAAACACATTGATTGAAGCCTCCATCTAAGACCAAAGACGACTCGCAACCCCCCCCCCTCCACCGCTGCCCCCCCCCAGCACTGATAGTGTCTGTGAAAGTCTTGCTGGATGAAAGGACATCACAAGGACATCACATCATGTAAACCATTGCTGGGAGGTCTATTTATGCAGCATGAATACGGAAGGGTCTTGCAGGGGAGATACTGATTATGCATCCGCAGCTACACACTCGCCACGGGCCGAGATGGAGTGTTGTCGTGCGGCGCAAAACGCATGCTGTTCACATGTCAAAACATTAGATTGAAAAGAGAATTTCCTGTGATTTCTTACACTTGCCAACAAATTGTTCGCCGTGACATAAATGCACAATACAGTACATCGGGTTGAATACAAATAGTTGGACGAGAGACGGTGCACAACGAAGAATGTCTTGCTGCCCCCACAGAATCGTCTCGCTGTACGTGAAGTTAACGCATGCTAATATGGTGATGGGGGGGGACACGCGGCCCCTGGACAACAAGCACTCTCGGCAATCTGATCCAAGAAGAGCAATGCTAACTAGATTCCACTTCTGTGCCAGATGCTACAAAAAAAAAAACAGGCTTTCTCCACATCTTTGGACATCAGCCAAGGACCAAGTACAGTACTCAACAGGCCCGTGGTTTACATCGCAGTTGCAAATTGCCAACAATGACTTGCTCCTCCCCCTTGCTCCCAAAATACTCAAAATCAAGGGCTTGGGTTGAAGAGGCCTGTCAAAGTGATTCACTGCCCTGTCAGGTTGAGGCCCAGATGAAATTATGAAATCCACTTCGAGGAGGAAGAAATTTGCACAGGAGGGGGAGAGAAAATTCCAAAGCCTACTTAAGCAGGCAAAATCAAACAGATTGAGTCTGAAGAGGAGCGTAGGGACAAAAAAAGGGGGTGGGGATTAAGAACTAGAAATGTGTTTGTAAGGCAGCAAGGATGGCGAATGACAGCTTGCATAGGGTTAAGTTGAAAACGGCATCGAACCTTAAGAAAATGGGGGTCACGGGCAAAAAATAAAATAAGCAAAACGTAGCAAGAAATATGAGATTGATAAAGTAAATTCGGCTTTTACTTACTTTGTCGGGCACTATCACCGCGATGACCTCCGCACATAACAACATGCTTTAATGTACAAAAACCATCGCGTCTTTCTGGAACAAATTCATTTCACTTCGAAATGTCAAGCGAACGCCCAAATATCAAGGTTGCTCTTTCCCTCTCTCATCCTTGGTGGCTTAGAGCTAAAGTACAGCCCAACATTTCTTACACCCTGTCAACCCTGAACCTTGGTTAGATAAGATAAGCTAAGGCGTAATGGAATTAGATTTGACAAGCCTCTCATTCAGCGTGTTTGCCTTTGGTGTCTCCTTAACCTTTCTGCAAAGTGCCAGAACCTTATCCCCAAGAAGTACGTTCATGACTCTTGCCCACACTTCTTTTAAAAGACGACGTTACACCCCCCACCCCCCGAGGTGCTGGGAACCTAACATTTTTCTCTCTCAAATACCTTTTAATGGAGTTTGGAACTTTGGTGTAAATGCCAAGTCTGCAAGCCTGAGCACATTTAATTGAGCTGTGCCATCCTGATTTAATGCACTTCCATTTCCAATCATACAATTTACCAGCAGGGTCAATTACTCTTCATATTTTGCAGCAATTTAGCCTCAACTGTGTGTGAACCTGAGTGGAATTTTAAGGAAGACAGCAGAGCGCATAAAACATAATAAACGTTGTTAGCCTCAAATTAGTGAATAAAGAATATTGCGGCTTTCGCTGCGCGGTGAGGAAATGACACCCAACGTGCAAAGTAAAGGTTACAAAAACATATTGAAAAGACACACCAAAGTCTTCTTAGTAAATACCAAACTTAATAGATGCTTTCGAGTTTGGGCCATTGCTCCAACCGTGAAATTGATTTTGTGCACAAAAGCAAATAAGCTGCAAGCGTTTACAAAAGACAACTGTGGCAGGCGTCAAAAAAAAAAATAAAAAATTGAAATGAATCTCCCCATTTGTCTGCCTAGGAATTCAAGATTTGCACAAGGCTGTATAACGCCTTACTCTGGACAACAGTGCCCCCTGTTGACTTCCTCCGACACAGTCACGCGTCGCACAGACTGACGCAGCCACCAGACTTTTGATTAGTTGCACCGGCGCAATCTCATTAGACAAGGAGCCAAACGTTTTGTTGTCATAAATATACAAACACAAAGCAAATACTAATTCTCTTGAGCTTCGGTCTACATGCACCTAATGTTGTAGTCACAAACTGTACAAATCTGTCACCTCAGTACATCTGTAGGATTTAAGAAACGGGTGCTAACAGGCACAGAGAGACATTTTTTTCCGACATCAAAGATGATATGGAGAGATTATTTCAAGGTCAGAATGATCTGCCTTGAAGAATACCGTAACTGTGACAACATATCAATTGCAGTGTTCGAATGCACTTGAGATGCAAGTGACTTGACTTACGCGAGTTTTTCAAGATACAACCCGTCATTTGCGCGAGCTTTTGCTTTAACTTGCGAGCGCAAATTTGATATACGAGCGCCGTATGATGGCGGTGAACTCTCCTCGACTCACTTCACAAGAAGCAGAAGTTTGGCAAATAGTGAACAATTGGGGGGGACTTCAGTTTAATTGCACTCCCACTTGAAGGTTACTGTCAAACTAGACATAAAACAAAGAGAATTAAAATTAAAATCAAGAAAATTGCCTCAATTAATGCATTCTATGCTATCTGTGAATTATTTTGGCAAAAGAGGATGTGGAGGATTCAGACTTACGGCACTGGCATTTTGTCAATAATATCTGAAAGGATACTTTCTCTTTCATGTGCTATAAGCATGTTCTGTTGCTCGAGTTGTTGGATTTTGCTTTCAAAATTATCGTGTTCATCTTTGAGGCGCTTCACCGACTCTTCCTTCTCCTCACTCACCCTAGGGAAAAAAAAAAACAGGAGACAATAGTTTTCAATATTTAAATGAAATGGGAGGAAAATGAAAGGAAATTTTGCTTTTGCAAGAAAGCAAAGGGCACGATGGATTTAATTTAAATTGCCTTGTAACTTAAACACACAGCGGGATCAGTCCCATACAGCAAACTACCTGGCTAGCTCTTCAATCAGGTTTGCAATGCGTCGTTTGTCCTCAGGACAGAGGTCTTTCAAACCGACTTGGCTCTGTGCACTGCTACTTCCAAATATGATCTAGGAAACATGGGTCATTTTCACATTCGGGTCACCCGTAGGAATTACAAATAGGACAAAAATAATGACAAAAGCCTTACTTGTGAAACGGGGGGTATCAGACCTAGCGTTGGAACAAGGGCGTTCTCAGTCGTTACGGAAGCAAAGGCAAGGGCAGACGCATTTTCCTTAACGTCAGAGCTACATTGATCATTTTGTACATAGCTTTGGGTTGTGCCGCCTCTCCTTAATGGTGTGTCCATCTTGCAGTCAGAGATGCGTCGGGCTTGCATCTTGGTGTTTTTTTTAATTGAGGTACTTATACCGCTTGGTTTACAAGGGACCACTTTGTCTCCTCCTGCGATTGGAGAAAAACATTTCAGATCATAGCATTTACAATAAAAAATTATCAATGTATTTAAGTTTTATTTTCCACTAAAACCTGTTTTGTTGCAGAGCGGTGCAATAAAATTACTGCTGCTTAAAATGCTCAGTCATTGTGGCTAATCATCATGATTACAATGTGGATCAAAACAATCCAGATTAGTCTTTTGAGTATAACAGCACAGTTCTCGCTGTGACCAAAATGTCACGACTAGTTGAGTTTCTCTTGCACAAGACACTTGACTCCAAAATCTGCTCCCTGTGCACTGGCTAAGCTTCCCTCTGCTCCCAAGTGTCACGAACGGTGTATGATTGCAGCATTAACTACTGTGGTTGATTAATAAATGGAGGACTCTAATTGTGTCAAATAAATGTGTGTATATCAGCCAAAAAATGACGTGCATTAAAAACAGTCTTCATAAATTGACGAAAACAGCAAACAGGAATACAGTACTACAAACTTCAATATAGACTCACGAGTAAAGTATATACTTGTACAATCCAATCAACACAAGATGTTCATTCCAAAAACACTACAATGCTTAGTTTTAAACGACAAAGGCACCATTAATCACTATGACATGGTTATTATTATAACGTTGTGTTTTGCAGGAGTGTAGAACTGAAATGAATTATCAGGAGAAGTGCTTTTTATATTTTACCTCTTTATTTTAGAAAAAAAAGAAAGCATACGTAAAATCCATACAAAATTATAAACACATCGGACGCAGTCCTGTTTCCCTGTAGCGTGGTTTATTAGGTCTCTTCTTTTGATACTTGACTCCTAAATAAGAAGTAGGTTGCTGTTTTGTAAAACACACTTCATCGTGGGGAAATGCTGGATAAGAACTAACGTACTGGTAAGCAAATAAATGAATAAATCAGCCTACCACTCTTCGTCCAAAGTATTTCAGATTTGGCATTCCTTTTTTCAGCTGCCGCCATGTTGAAACAACCGCCGCAAGTGACAGGGAACCAAACCTTGCAAAGAAATTGTAGCCCCGCCTCCTAGTGAAATATGAAGATCTGATTGGCAAGTC